CGGACCCCGGGGAGCCCCGGCCCGAGGGCGGCCGCGGCCGGGAAGGACCCGGAGCCGAGGGGGAGGCGGCGCGAGCCCCAGTCCCGGGGGAGGGGCCGGGGGGGACGCAGTGGCTCCCGAAGCCGGCCTGGAGCCTCGTCCGCGCCCCCGAGATGGCCGTCGGGGAGCGTCCCGGTCGGCTGAGGAGGAGACTGAGGCTCGGGAGGGCCCGAGGCTGCTCATTGTTCGCGTGGTGGGTGGAGAAGGGTCCTCTCTTGACCGCGACTGGACTGTGGCGAGGGGTGATGAGGGGCCGGGGAGTCAGGAGACTGGGTTCTAGAAGGCGGTGCCTGATTTCAAGGCTGATGTTGTGCTGAAATAACTAAATTCGACTCTTCTTCGTCCTCCTTCACGTTGTTGAGAAAATTACATAAAGACGCGTGTGTTTATGCATGCACGTGTACGTGTGCACGTGTACACATGTGTGTCTGCGGAGTCACATGCACGGTGCACAGGCGCACACGCCCCCTCAGTGGAAGAGGCAGTCGCGCCCTCGGCGGTGCCTGTGCTCCTGGCTCGGTGGTTTGGGGAGGGAGGGTGCAGATCTCCCAGAAGAGCAGTCAAGGTCTCGTGTGAAAAGTGGTGGGGAGAGGGGGAAGGGCTGGCATATCTGGGAGGGAGGACTGTGACAACTGAGGCCAGCTCTGAGGGGGACCTTGAAGAATAACTAAAAGTCGACCACGTTGGGGATAGAGCGGGGGTGGGGGGGTGGGGGGGAGATTAAAGTTCATTCTCGGTAAAGGCAACTACACAGTCAGAGGCAAAGGAGTGTGGAGGAGAGGTTGACCACGGCCAGCAGTCACATGTGATGAGGGTGATGGTGGCAGTGAGGCTGGCCAGAGAAGGTCTTGGAGAGCCCGAGGGGGAGGAGCATGTTAAGGGTCTTGAACTTTGATACTCTTGCAAGGAGTGCTCTTCATATCCCCTCTGTTCCCCACCTCCCCAACCCACTCCTGCTCCCTCCTCAACTATTCCTTTGTCTTAGTAAATGGCAGGTACAAAAGCCAGTCTTCTCTCTATCACTCCCATCCATGTCCACTTAGCACGCTCTGACACCTCTAATTTTTTTTTTTCCTTTTTGTCTCTTTTTATGACCGGTAACGGGATCGCAACCCTCAGTGTCGCGCCCGTACCGGGACCGGCAACGGAATCGCAACCCTCGGTGTCGCGCCCGCACCGTGCTCAACCAGTGAGCGGACCGGTCTCTATATGGGATCCGAACCCTCGGCAGGAGCGCCGCCGCACTCCCAAGCGCCGCACTCTACCAAGTGCGCCACCGGGCAGGCCCTGACACCTCTAATTCTTTAACACCTACAAATCTTCAATACCTCCTCCATTCCCCCTGCCAATACCTTAACTCTAATCATCTTCTCTAGGCTAGATTTTATTGCCCCTGCTCACTTGCCCTTCATTCCCAGTGCCCAAGTCACTTTCTTACATGCTGATCTGCTCACTGTTCCATGCTCCAGACCCTCTCTGCTGCCCTCAGGTTTATATAGTCGCAGATTTCACCTTGGCTGCCCTTCATTAGTGAAGCCCCTCCTAACCCCTCACCATTCCTCTCCCTCCTAGGGGAGTTGCACCAGACTGTCAGGACTGCTCTCCCAAAGCCTGGACCACAGAGCACCCTGTGCCTGGTGATAACTAATTTGTTAAATATTTGCTGCATGTCATGCACATGTGAACTGCTCTTGTGCCTTTTCTAATTTAGTCCTCACTGTAACTCTCTGAGGGACTAGCTAATTTCCTTCTATAGATGAGGAGATGGAGGCTCAGAAAAGGAGATGATTTGCCAAAACTGTGTCTGGGGCAAGATGCAAATTCAGGAAGAGCCACTGACATTCCAGAGATATTTCTGGAGTCAGAGATCAGATTTGGGTTTTAGAATGAGATCAGATTCTCTGGCAGTGGAGAATAAACAGGACAAGACAAGCCACCGAGAGAACAGTTGGGAGACAGGGCAGGAGCCCAGGCCCCAGGTAATAAGTAGCTGAGCCAGCGCAGTTGCCAAGATGGGGAAGAAGGAATGGATTCGGAGGTCTTGGAAGTGAGTTTTATAAGGGCCTGTTTTATCCAGCAGTGCTTGCTTGGGTGCTACTTTCTAGGCAGAGCAGGAAATACAAAGATGAAATAGAATTTTCTTCCCCTCAAAGGGTACATCCCTTTGTAGTTAAGACGTGGTTAGTAAAAAGAAAACTTTCAGTATGGTTGATAACTCCAAGTAATATATTAGTATCACTAGACTTCCCAAAGAGGTCATGAAAAAAGTTATGAAAGAGGAAAATTATTTGACAATCTTGCCAAAGAATTTTTCCCAGCCTGCCACATCTAATCATTGCCTTAGTCATTCAAAAATATTTCATTATCAGCCTTGAAAAGCTTTGAGGTGGTAACGCTCTGTCCAATGACATTTAACACCAGTGACATTTACATGGGCATTTAGCACTATTGGCTGTATTCTTTTTCATTAGCGTTCCTCCCTGCCCACAGTCCAATTTGAATTAGTCTTGATTTCTTTCAGAATGTGGGCCTATGAACTGGGCTGGTTTTCTTGGCCAAATGGATAATGGAGCGTGGATGAAGGTATGTGGCAGAAGGGTCAGTCACAGTGCTGCCCTCTGCAGTGGATATCCAGGCTGAAAGTGAGAGCCACCCAGGAGGTGCCCCCCCCCATGTGGTACCATTAGTACATTTGATCACTAATGATCCCAAGGCTTTCACAGCACTTAGCCACTCTTCACAAGTTCCTCAAGGGCAGGAGTGTTACTCACCTAAGTATCCATGTGGGCTCTGTGCTCTGCTCCCCCCATCCCCAGTTCTCCCCACCACTGTATGCCTCAGACAGTGAGGGCCCATGGGATCCCCTCAAGTGTTCATTGTACTGATTTGAACAAACGTTTTAAATGAAGTCTTGTTGACTTACGACTGGGTGTTAGTCTGTTACGTATTCCTCAAACAGTCACATAAAGTAGATGTGAATTCCTATTGATGTGTGCGTGTTCAGTTGACAGGAGGGTCGAATCTGAAGAATCAGGCGATGAGGACGGGAAGAAGCACAGCAGCGGCATCGTGGCAGACCTCAGCCAACAGAGCCTGAAGGATGGGGAGGCGCAGGGGGAGGACAACCCAGAAGGTACCAGGCTGAGTTAAGAACTTCACACTCACAACGGGGGCGTGTGTCAGTCGGAGGGTGCTGGCTGTGTTGTACGCAGTCTGTCCCAGTGGCAGTATTGTGTCAGTCCTGGAAAGGACTGCTGTGCTCCTCGGGAGGCCTGGAGGGCTGGGGACAGGTGGACATGACTTCTGAAGCACTCTCCTCAGTAGGCTGACATGTTTATGGCACTTGCAAGGGGGATGCAGTTTTTCCTAATTCCACTGAAGGAATTACTGTTAATAATAATGTTGATACTAGTGTATCATCTGGGACAGAACCAGAAGCTTATTTTATTAACCATCTGTTGGGAAGGCGAAATCTGAAGTAAACAGTATGGCTGACTACAGTGCTTCTACGTCCTGTCATAGTAAGAGGAATTTTAAATCTCTGAGAGAAGTCATTTCTGAGTCCTGCTGCACCATTTTTATAAGCCTGAGGATCAACTTCTAAAGTGCCTGGATGTTAGGAAACTCTTTTTATGTGGAAAATAGCTCCAATAGCCGTCTATTATTTTAATGAGTAACAACAACAAAATAAGTTTAGAGATAGGAAAAGTCAGTCCTCAGCCCAAAATGGTGGGTTTTTGACATCCCCAACAATGGCCTAAGCCTTATTGAGTGTTTGCTTGCATTGAAAAGACTAAGAGAAACGATGTGAACACAGAAAGATGTCCAAGCTATATTATTGGGTGAAAAAAGCACATTTCTCAATAGTACGGATGTTAAAATCTTATTATTATTTTTTTTTTAAAGATGACCGGTAAGGGGATCTCAACCCTTGGCTTGGTGTTGCATGTTAAAATCTTATTTTTAGGGGCTGGCCCGGTGGCGCACTGCTACAGTGCACCGCTTGGGAGCACGGAGGCGCTCCCGCCGAGGGTTCGGATCCCATGTGGAGACCGGTTCCCGCTCACTGGCTGAGCGCGGTGCGGGATCTCAACCCTTGGCTTGGTGTTGTCAGCACCACGCTCAGCCAGTGAGCAAACCGGCCATCCCTATATAGGATCCGAACCCGTGGCCTTGGTGTTATCAGCACCGCACTCTACCGAGTGAGCCACGGGCCGGCCTTAAAATCTTATTTTTAGTTTAAAAATATGAATATGTAGTTTTAACCTGTTTAAGAAAGAAATACATCCAATTGCTGCTAAAGGTCTGTCTGAACAGCAGGTTTTAGAGAGAAACTGGTACATTCTGCATTTTCTAGATTTGTCTTATTTTTAGTTTAAAAATATGAATATGTAGTTTTAACCTGTTTAAGAAAGAAATACATCCAATTGCTGCTGAAGGTCTGTCTGAACAGCAGGTTTTAGAGAGAAACTGGTACATTCTGCATTTTCTAGATTTGCATACAGTGTATGCATTTTTCAGGTGTTAATAGTCATGCATTACCCTTATAAAAATAAGTTTTTTTAAAAAAGCTAATTTTTAAAATAATGTTGTGCTCTCTCTGCCAGCAAAGATGATTAGTAACTATGGCAACCTAATTTTAAGGCAAAAAGAGATTACCACAAAAGTACCAGTCACATTTACTTTGGAACTTCAGAGTCGATGTTCTGGAAGTGACGTGGGTGGAATAAAGTGCATGGGAGATGGGTGGAAACTTTCGTTGCTCTCCGCCTTAGTCGCAGATAGGCCGAGCAGTAGGAGCTCCCAGTGTTCTCAGGTTGGTGCTGCTGAGATGTCAGGTGTTTGTGAGGACTTGAGAGGTGGCAGAGCACTGTTGTGTGCTTTCTTTCCCTGGCTCATTAGCATAGGCTAATGATGTTAGCATCGTGATGTACAATTATAACGATGCTGTAATGTGTAATGGACAACGAGGATAAGACTCACTGCAGCCTGCCCAGGGGCACGGAGCTACCAAGCTGGCTGTCTGGACTGGAACCCGCTTGTCTAAATCCAAGGTTCTTTCCTCCAGGCGACTAGCTGGTGCTCTGGGAATGTGCATTTCTAGTCTTTAGAGAAACCAGTTCAAATAACACAGAATCAAATATGTCAACTGTTACCTTCTACTTATTTTCTCTAATTTATATTTAAAATATGATCAATACATAAGACATTTGGAAGGGTGTTCTAAGCTGATAGCTTTGTTTCAGAGGTTAAGTTGACATTTCAAGTATGTTGGGGGGCCAGCCCCATGCTTGATGTATTACTAACAGGACCCCTTTAAGCCATGTGACCACATGTCCTGAGGAGCCTGGTACAGCCCCATTTCCACCTGCTAGCCAAGTGTGACTCTGTAGTGCCCCCTTTTACTCTCAAAGTGTCTTGGTTTGGACACTAAATGGCCTGGGCACCCTGCCTTAACTGTAGTTCCTCTTCCAATGCAGCTTCCTGAGTTCATGATCAGTGAACTGTCTTTTGCAGGGTATTTGGGTACAACTCTTGGTTCTGCCAAGTTCTTTTTATTCGATTCTGAGGTAGGTTGGTATCTTATAAATTTAACGGATAAACTATAGTAAATGACTTTTTTTTTTAACTAGCCACTGTAGTAGGCATAGTGAAAATACGGTGAAGTCAGCCGTGCAGGGCCATTACTTCTTTGGTAAGCTGGCCCGATGTCAAGTGCTCCTCTCTGAGGCCTCCAGTCGAGGAGCCAGGCTGACCAGCACACAGGCCACTCATTCTGGGAGGAGCCAGCATCCACATGAGGCCCAGGGCTGGGTGGGCCACTCCACTGCTGCCGCAAATGCAGGCTTTCTAGGAAGGGGCGCGGCACCGAGAGCCCGAGTGAAATAGTGACAGCAACGGCCAGTTTACAGGAAATGCAGGACAGAGAGAATGCTGGGGATATAACGTACAGACTCCAGGCTGGGAGCAGCAGCACAAGACAAGCAGCCCGTTTTCTTCCAACAAAAAACTGTAAGGGAAAAACGGGATTTAAGAGAAATACTATCCAGTCACGACGTGACCTTATTTGGATCCTAATTCAAACAAACTTGGGGGAAGAAATTGTAAGACAGCTGGGAAAATGTGAACAATGACTAGATATCTGGTGGTATTGAGGATTTACTGTTCTTTTAAAGTATTTTATCTGGATCCCCGTACCAGCAAGTGGCCCAAAAGAATAATAATAAAGTGTCTTAGGGTGTGTGTGAGTGTTGCACGTGTGTGTGCACATGTCTCTGAGGTAGGTGTGTGTGTCTGCGTGTGTCTTAGTCGTTTCTGAGGTATGTGCTCACATAGGTTCTGATGAAATGAAGAGGAGGGGCTGCTAATAGGAGCATCCTCGCAGCCCCCTCAGGCATGGAGGAGAGTGGCTCTCTGGGGTGGAGAGGCCTCATGAAATCTGAATGGGCTTCTCTGCTGGAATTAGTTCACTGGCCTCCCAATTGAGAAATGCGTTTAAATTATTCAGCAAGGCTCTTTGATCCTGTCTGCTCAGCTGCGCTTCATTTTGTTTTGCTCTGTGCAGAGAGAAGGGTTTGCAGTTGCCAGGCCACTTCCCAAAGCAATGAAAGGCACATCTTAGAGCATCTGATATGCCCAGCATGCCTGATTTATTGCCACAAACAAGAGAAAGAACTTGTGGGAGGACAGGCTGCCACTAGTGACACACTCGGGGGGTTAGGACAAGGTGGCTGCGTGCATCATGGCAACTAACTGGGCTCACCTGCAGCTCCATCAGCCTCCTTTTCCCCCTCCTTCCCACCAGCAGCTTCAAACTCCATTTCCTTTCTTGGAAATTTCAGAGGCACAGATGGAAGTTTAGACACCCTTGCCAAAAGCTGAATTTGGGAAACGTAGAATGTTCAAAACATCCCCATTGTTGGAGCAGGATTTAGCCAGACCCTGCCAGTCTCTTCAGGCCTCAGTGTGTCATCCTATTGGTTTCCCCTCTGTGTTTGCCTTATCTCTGTGGGCTGAGCATCTCCAGACCTTAGCCAGAGGTGCAGCTCTTCACCAACAGGGGCCGCTGCCTCCTCCTATGAATAGGGTTCTGAATGTGCTTTTTTTCTGTTCCCTTTTCCAGAGGAACCTGAGCTGCCTGTGGATATGGAAACTATTAGCCTGGACAGAGATGCAGAGGTAATGCCTGCTGCTCGACCCAGCCTCAGGGGTCATGGTGATGGACCACCCCGACCGTCAGGTTATCTTTTATGAAGGTGCCAGATTAGTAAGTGATTTCCATAGACAGGTCACCTAACCCTCCTTTGATTGGATCAGATTCCTGTATTCTTTCTGTTTTTAATGCTAGTGATTGAAATCCCATCTATGTATGATCCTTGAGGACTGTGTAGCAAATGAGGCACCTTGGCTCTTGAATTATGTGGGTCCAGTGATTATGGTGTATATGGTGGGGTCCTCACATCCCCAGTCTCTGAAAAGCAGCATGCGTGAGGAAGACTGCCAGGAGGACACACCCAGGTGCTGTGTCATAAATCCTGAGCTCGAAGCCAGTCACTGACGGTGACATTATAGGGGTGACCTCCTCAGAGCCCAGGGTTATGTTTTATGCTCAAGGGACTAGGATGTGAGAGAAAGGAGTCATATACCAATTGTTTCAGGGGTCAGTTTTACATAAAACTAATATAGCTAAGCCAAAGAGCTCTTGGCAGCTCCCCAGGTCACCACACCTGCCTCCCCAACCCTCTCCCTCACCTGCACCCACCCTTCAGGCCTTCTGCTCTAGGAAACAGCTCTTCAGGACCTTTGCTATAGCTGAGCTACATCCCTTCTTTGTTTCAGGATGTTGATCTCAATCACTATCGCATTGGGAAAATCGAAGGGTTTGAAGTGCTGAAGAAAGTGAAGGTGAGAGGGACTCTGTCCTTTCCCATGAGGTGACTCTGCAACACTCAGTAGCTGTGGATAAACCCACAGCCAAGAGACCTGTGCTGCCATGGTCCATGTTCCCATCCCGTGGAAGGTGCTGGCCTATATCTAGACCTCATCAAAGATCTGTCTTTGTTCTGATCATGGCAGATGTTATGAAGCAGTCAAGGAGCGTGGGTGGCAGCCCTCCTGGAGCTGGCTTGCCTGAGCTCAGGCAGATAGAGATGCAGCCTTCAATTAAACACTCACCAAATGTTATAACCCTTAACTCGGTTCAGTTAAATTTGTCCCTCAAAACTGAGCCCACTGAGTGTTCTTTCATTCTGCCAGGAAATGGCATCACTCCCAACCGCAGACTGATCACCCCCCACCACCCCTAGTAGGCCTGCTGGGCATGGGGCCTGCCTCCAGCGGCGTGACCTCGGGTGGGTGGGGCAGGGCCAGCTCAGCACCTTTGCCCACCTGCCTCTCTTAAGTTTGGCATCTTCGGGAAAACGGGAGAATGAAGACACATCCTGCCACGAGGAGGGCTTGTCACGTGTCCTCCGGTTTCACAGCTGACACTTTCTGTGGCCTTTCTGCTGCCTTTATCAATCCTTTTCTTGTCCCCCAGACTCTGTGCCTCCGTCAAAATTTAATTAAATGCATTGAGAACCTGGAGGAGCTACAGAGTCTTCGAGAGCTGGATCTTTATGACAACCAGATCAAGAAGATTGAGAATCTGGAGGCGCTGACAGAGTTGGAGTGAGTCATGAGACCCAGAGAAGACTGGGATAGGTAGGGGAGGGGGGTGGGGGGCGTCCAGTCTTCCCAGAACCAACCCCGGCTCTTGGCCCTTAGAAGGCCACCTCTGCCGCGGGGTCCTGCCCCACACCTGGCTCCCAGGTCTCTGTCTGCCTGTGTTTGGGGCTCCAGAGGGCATGTCAGCTTCATGCGTATCATACCTTTGCCCACCTGCCTCTCTAAGTTTGGCATCTTCGGGAAAACGGGAGAATGAAGACACATCCTGCCACAAGGAGGGCTTGTCACGTGTCCTCCGGTGTCACAGCTGACACTTTCTGTGGCCTTTCTGCTGCCTTTATCAATCCTTTTCTTGTCCCCCAGACTCTGTGCCTCCGTCAAAATTTAATTAAATGCATTGAGAACCTGGAGGAGCTACAGAGTCTTCGAGAGCTGGATCTTTATGACAACCAGATCAAGAAGATTGAGAATCTGGAGGCGCTGACAGAGTTGGAGTGAGTCATGAGACCCAGAGAAGACTGGGATAGGTAGGGGAGGGGGGTGGGGGGCGTCCAGTCTTCCCAGAACCAACCCCGGCTCTTGGCCCTTAGAAGGCCACCTCTGCCGCGGGGTCCTGCCCCACACCTGGCTCCCAGGTCTCTGTCTGCCTGTGTTTGGGGCTCCAGAGGGCATGTCAGCTTCATGCGTATCATTGTGTGTTGGACAGTCTTGACTTGCGAAGTTAACCTTTGATTGGAAGTGGGGACTTGTAGCAAGTGTCCATTCAAGGATAATGTCGAAATCAGGGAGAGGGGAAAGTTAACCTGAAATTTCCTTTTTTTGCCCTTTGAATACGTTTTTTTTTTTTTATCAAGGAATGAATGATGTTTCTAATTTAAGGAATCAGGTCCTAAGTATAACTTTACCCAGACTTCTGCCCTTTGTTGTGTGTTCATTTTAGTTTTGTTTGCAATTCAGCGTTAACGGGGTCCCTTCTGTGTGCAGAGCCTGGGAAGTTAGTTAAATTCTGAGATATGTGCAACCTGTGCTCATTTAAAAAAATGTATTTTGCTTGTTCCCAGGATTCTAGATATTTCTTTTAATCTTCTGAGAAACATTGAAGGAATTGACAAGTTGACGCAACTGAAAAAACTCTTCTTGGTCAACAATAAAATCAGTAAAATTGAGAACATAAGCAACTTACATCAACTGCAGATGCTAGAGCTGGGATCTAATCGCATCCGGGTAGGTGCAGACGGCACTAACTAGCGTCCACTCAGGGAGAGACATGTAGACTGAACAGTGATGCGCGGAGGATGTGTGGTTGGCTTTATTTTTTTTATGGTGCTATGATTTTTTTTTCAGGAACAGGGAAATTATTTTTTTAAGAAAAATGCTAACAGGAAGTCAGTTAGAATATGCGCCCAAACTGAGGGGCCGAGCCTTTTCTCTGCACATAGATTTTAGTCGCCTCCATCATGATCCTAACCCAGGCCATGGTCAGTCACTAACGGGAGGGAAACTGAAGTCAAGCCAGTAAACAGTTATTAAGCCACCTGCTATTCACAAGGCACCATGAGGAGACCAGACGAGACGGCATGTACCACCTGTGGTGGCTCACGGTTGAGTAGAGGAACACACGATCAGCAAAGAGAAGCAATGAGGGAAGGTTTGGAAACTGGGCAAGAGGGGCAGAGAGCCACGGAATGAGGCACTTGCCCCAGGAATCCCAAGTGAGCATTTTAAAGACCTGGGGTCAGAGCTTCCAGCGTCTGTCTTCTGTAGAGAGCGAGGCTCTTGGGGCACTTTAATGTGCATTATGTAGAATAACATAATAACTTGTCAGCTCAGAAGTTTAGAACTGGAAGGGACTTTAGAAATCTGCTAACCCCTGGGCTCTCAAACTGTGTTCCCCAGAATTGCAGAGCTTTGCAAACATGAGCGTTGGGAGCAAGCCCAAGAGGCAGGGCCTCAGGCCCTCCTGCATTTTTCTGTTTTTTCATACTGTACTCTCAAGTAAGATTTCACTGGGAGATTTTCATAGCAGATAAGTAACATGCCCATCATCACAGAGCTAAAATCCAATGGGCCGGCCCGGTGGCGCACTCGGTAGAGTGCGGCGCTTGGGAGCGCGGTGGCACTCCCACCGAGGGTTCAGATCCCATATAGAGACCGGTCCGCTCACTGATTGAGCGCCGTGTGGGCACGACACTGAGGGTTGCGATCCCACTGCCAGTCACAAAAAAAGACAAAAAGGAAAAAAAAAAAAATTGAAAATATTGACACATTAACCAGTCTGGAGAGTTTGTTTTTGGGAAAAAACAAGATTACTAAACTTCAGAACCTGGATGCACTTACCAACCTGACAGTCCTCAGTATGCAGGTATCACTACTCCTGAGCTTCCCACTCCCCCAAACCCCAACAGGGCCAGAGCTGCTAAACACAGCCATGGTTTTTATCTTTTACTACATCATGATCAGCACTTCGTTTCATTGTCAGTAAGTGACTGAAACATTAGATTAAACAGACTTCATACACACACACACACACCAAACTAAAATTTTATTCTTTAGGGGTCATGTTCCTTACCCAGTACCAGTCCTAGGTGGTTTTTTGTCAGAAGGGACTTGTTCAGAAGGTTGAGCTTGAGAGGGGGTATAGCTCAGTGGTAGAGCATTTGACTGTAGAAGGTTGAGCTTGTCCTGAATCCTCCTGCACCGTCTGGCTCAATGACAGGAGCACCTCCTCCGTCCCCTCACAGAGAGCAGAAGCCCCACTGGGCCTCCGTGCCTGGGACAGGTGCACGCCAGAGTGCGCTGAGGCTCCTGCTTACCTTTTCTGTCAGAAGCAGCTTAGTGGAACCACAGTTGCCAGTTATAAAGCAGATGTTCTCTAAAAAAGTTCTTAAGGTCTAAGGGCTCCCCACCCTCCCCAGCTCTCCTTGCTGACGCGCACGAGAGACACGTGCCCACAGAGGTTCCTGCCCTCCTCAGCTGCCTCCACTTCAGCCTGCTTTTCCTCAGTACAGTATTCAAGACAAATAAAAGACTTTTTCTCTCTCAGTTTTACTGGGTTTTTTCTGTTTTGTTTAATGTAACCAGACTGGTCATTTTTTGTTATTGTGAACACAGTGTTTCCATCTCATTTAAGGCTCCTTTGGCCTTTGTACCTCAGCTCCAGGCCTAGTTGCCATTATTAATGTTGTTTTGGAGGAAAAATCACGTTCTGAATTTCATTTCATCAACATGTACGTAAATGTTTAGAACAATTAGAGTTTGCCTGTGGAAAGTTGGTCACCGTCCTCCAACTGTGTGGTCAAAGTAAGAACCAGCGTGTAAAGCAGGTTTTCGCGTGTGCGGTGCAGGGTAATGAGTTGAGGTGTTCCTGAGAGGTGGGACAGTGGCTGGCGAGAGTGCAGGGACTGTGGACAGAAGGCCCTGGTGTGCACAGCAGGAGCGCCTGAGGAGTCCAGGCTTGTGGGGACACTGGGCCCCTTGCAGCTCCCCAGCCTCCTCATACAAGGTCCACACTGTGGGTCACTGGGAGATGGGCATGTCTGCAGCAAGTCCCCAGGCGAACAGGAAAGAAGCGATAATTCAGAATTTTGTCAGCGGGAGTGCTACACCATGGTCTTGGTTAGGCATCAGGTCATTCCTGGACCTCTGAAACATCAGAAAAAAAACAGTGGCTGCGTTAGAGGTAATTATGCGGCTGCAGTATTCATCATGATCGAGTGTGACCATCTTTTCTCTGGGATCTTTTCAGCTAGAGATCAAATACTCACCTGTATTTTCTTCTAAGTTTTATCTCTTAATTTATCTGGAATTTATTGTTGTGGTGGGAGGTAAGTAAATAAATGTACCTTTTTCCTAAATGGCAAATGCACTGTCCCTACAGCACTTATCAATCGACCCCTGTCACTGACATCTCGTGACACCTGTCTTGTTCTGGAGCTGCGCTGCAATAATCTGGGCTCTTTCTTCCCATTGGTCTGGAGTGTGCTTGACCAGTCTGTGACTGGCAGTTACTGTGGCATTGTGGGTTTTGTAACCTCTGGGTGCCTGCTCTTCCCACCTTGTCCCCTTCTTTTTTTTTTTTTTTTAATACTTACTGGTTTGCTTTTGGATGATCTTTTAAAACTTCGTCTGGCTCCCCATCCGCCAAAAAACCATGAAATGGTGTTGAGTGTATGACATGTAAGTGCAATTCCCTGAGCTCAGAGTTAGGGTCCAGTTCTGCAGCCAGAGCCTGCTACTAGCTCCCTGCCCCTAGTGCTGAGCCTTTGTGCTTGGGTTTCACGAGGTTCAAGTCCTACTGTGTGTTAGAGACCACTTTTGTCTCACCAGTTTCTGGGCTCACACACGCGATGTCCTCAAGCACCACAGAACGGGTGCGGGTGCTGGAGAGAGCTGCCCTCTGGGGGCCTGGCTGCCACGCTTCTGAAAAGTTCTCCCAAGGCCCTTTGTGCTCTGAAACCCCCTGAACTCCCAGTGCGTTATAGAGCTCGGCACTCTGAGCAGACCTGAGCACCAAGATAAGACGGTTTGAAGGCACTGCCTCAGCTGCGTGCCAGTGCCCAAGCTCGCACGAGACATATCATGGTGACTGCATAGTGTGCTGGAGAGTGGCGGGTCTTGTGCCTGTGCACATCTGTGACTTGGCCAGCACTTGCAGCACAGGTGCCAGGTGCTGGTGTGATGCTGGGTGGCATGGCCGGGCCCTCAAGGAGCTCAAAGGCCATGGCCATAGTACCTTTGAGTCAACAGAGCTGCTGGCTGATGCTTCTATGTGTGTTTGTGAGTTTTGTTTTTATTTTATTGAGACATTTTTTAACTTTCTCTTAAAATGTGGGAGGATTTGGAATCAGTATATCAGGAATGCAGTAAAAAATAGAAGAAGAGAACCCTCAGTCAGAATGGGGGGTTGGGGGGGTAGTGAGGGCAGAGGGAAGGGAACGTGCTTTTGCCAGAGGCTCTCAGCCAGCTTGTAAATGTTTTCCTTTTGATTATAGAAAAACTTGCCAATTGGTTAGTATTAGACACTGTAGCAAGCAGAGAAGCTTTAACAGAATCTTCACCACAAAATGGCTCTTCTGTAGATCTTGAAACTCTGTAAACTTTAAAAAAATTATTGCCCAGTCTTAGCTGTTGTGTACTAAAAAGTGAGTGTCTAGTTTGCATTTTTAGAGCAGAAGATCATGAACACACATGCTGTCTCCTGGCGGAAGCACGCACTTCCCACAGCCTGGGACACTGTCCTCAGGTACTGGGTATCTGCTCCCTTCCTGCTTTGGTCATTTGTGAGCTCCAGGGGGCCAGAGACCCGGTCTCCCTCCACTCCCAAGCTTTCCTTCCTCTGCACCCTTGCCCCTGGTGGCCTCTTCCTAGACCAGAGGGCCTGCGTCTGGAGCATGGGCTGGGGTATGAGAGTGCATCCTCTCTCACCTCTGCTGCGTGCCTGGGCAGCTTTTCACCCTCACTGAGCCCTGGGTTCCCTGTCCCTAAACAAAGACAGGAATTCTGTTTTGAGGATTACTTTGTATCATACATTTCCTCTTGATCAGTGTTACTGCATTCGTCACCCCTTCATCAAAGCCCATCTCAGCTCCAAGAGTCACTGAGCTCCTCCCAGGACCATCAGTCTCACTGGGGTCTCAGTGGAGAGGGACCTGGGTACACAGGACTTGGAGTCTGACACAGCCAGTTTCAAGTCCAGGGATAATGGAAGCTTGGTGAGGTGCTGGGAGGGTTCTGTGTGGAAGCGCTGGAGCCACGTCTAGCCCAGGGAGGGCTACAGGAGGTGGGCAGGCCTCATCCCTCCCTTAGCATGCCCCTGTTCCGTGAAAGCACCAGGCTCACCCCACAGCCCTGCGCCCAGCAGCCCACACCACATGTGTGGCCACGCAGCCATTGTTGAACTGAGGTAACCCAGGAATATATTTATTTCCCTATTTTAGAACAAACTCACGATGTTGGACATCGCGTCAAATAGAATCAAAAAGATTGAAAATGTCAGCCATCTAACAGAGCTGCAAGAGTTCTGGGTAAGTTGAATACATGCTGGGATTGATGATGCTTTGACTGGACTGGTCACATTGACTAAAAGGCCATGTAAATGAATACAGGGTTGTCTGGCCCTGTAAGCCTTGATGCTGAGCAGTCAGGCATGTCATGGGATGTGGGGTAGACCTTCTTGCGGGTTTGTACTGGTGGTGTCTGTGGTCTTGCTGCTCAGAGCACGATCCACAGTGAGCTTGTTGGGAATGCCAAGTCTTGTGCCCCACGGTATACCAGGTGCAGACTGAATCAAAATCTGCACTCCAACAAGATTCCAGGTGATTGCAGTGCACACGACTGTTCAGGAAGTCCTGACCTGTATATGGTTAGACCCAAGAATTGTTTGACTAAAAGGTTTCCAAACCCCAGCAGAGGAGGCAAATACCTTCACTGCAAACATGTCCCAGCACAACAGAAGGAACAGTTGGGTGGGTTTCTGCAGCTGATCATCGTGGAATTTGCCTGTTTCCGTCTGGTAGTTGCAGGTGTGGTTTTGAGAGTAGTGTTATACAGAGCAGTGGGGAGAGAGGTAGGAAACAAGAAGAGGTCTTTGCAATTCCCCTAAACGGTTGGGAAATTATCACCAAGTTGAAGTCCTCAGTGTTAGAATTCCACGAGGGAGTTCTCCTAAGGCTTATTGACTTCCCCTAGCATGTGGCCCCTACCGGGACCATGTCACACATGTCACCCTATGATGCTGTGGATTGAATGTTGTCCTTGGCTGCATCAGTCTGATCCCAGCCTCATGCTGAGTCTAAGGCATGATTCTTCCTGGTCTAGCCGTGCTGCAGACCCTGCATATGTCCTGTGCATTTCCCTTTCCCCATCTTAAAAGATTGTCCCATTTTCCCTAGAACACAAGTGACCTGCTATGGAAATGTCCCTTGTCCCTTACTAATACTGTCAACCTAAATTAACAGAGGGAGATTCTACAAAGATTATGAGTTTATTTGGGAATGAGCAGGAACATCACAGTGCAGAATTCATGTGCCATGGCACCACTGGCATGTTCCAGGAGGCTGAGGTAAGGAGGAGCTTTTGAAGGCAAAAGGAAGAATATGCATAGGTTGATCTGAAACAAAGAGAATGTGGGTTACAGGAGCTTATTTCAGGAGTTGGTGCCAGTTCACCAGTGGAGACAATGTGTCAGGCAAGTGTTCTTGTGCATCTGCCTATCTTCCCCTCTGACTCAGGTAGCAAGCTGCAATTTGAAAAGTTCTTGGCAAAAATTCTTGTTACAGGCATATGTGTATTAGAGCCCTTCAGAGAGTCTTTGTGATAGTTCTCATCACAGGCATGTGTGCCTGAGGGCCCCTCCTTCTTAACCTCCTGGCTCTGTTTTGTTGGGTTTGACATAAATGATTCAAACTTGATATTGACAACATTCACAATACCATTGAGTCTTGGGTAGTGTCATAATGTGGCACCAGAGCATGTCTGGGAAGAGCAAAACCAGAATTTGGTGGGTGGTGAAGGTGTCCTAGGCCAGGGGGAGACAAGAGACTCCATGAGCCCAGGTTAGACTGCTTTCCATTCTGATCTAATAATTATCACTACAACCTTGTGAATAAGGTGATATTACCCCATTTTGTTTTGTTTTGTTATTTTTTAATTTTTTTTAGAAAAGATGACCAGTAAGGGGATCTTAACCCTTGACTTGGTGTTGTCAGCACCACACTCTCCCAAGTGAGCGAACCGGCCATCCCTATATAGGGATCCAAACTCTTGGCCTTGGTGCTAATAGCACCACACTCTCCCGAGTGAGCCACGGGCTGGCCCTGGTATTACTCTATTTTGAAGGTGAGGAATTGGTTTCCAGGAAGGGAAGTTGCAAACTAGGAACTCTCAAACTCAGTTCTAATCTAATATCTAATTCTTTTTTTTTTTTTTTTCCTTTTTGTCTTTTTTCGTGACCGGCAACGGGATCGCAACGTTTCCAGGAAGGGAAGTTGCAAACTAGGAACTCTCAAACTCAGTTCTAATCTAATATCTAATTCTTTTTTTTTTTTTTTCCTTTTTGTCTTTTTTCGTGACCGGCAACGGGATCGCAACCCTCGGTGTCGCGCCCGCACCGCGCTCAACCAGTGAGCGGACCGGTCTCTATATGGGATCCGAACCCTCGGCGGGAGTGCCGCCACACTCCCAAGCGCCGCACTCTACCGAGTACACCACCAGGCCGGCCCTAATATCTAATTCTAATATCACATTTTAGATGCACTCATCTAGTCCCTAAGGAAGTAATAGGAAACCAATCCTAATAAGTTTTTAATAACCCAAATACTATGTTTGTTGATTTTCTGTTTGTTCTACCAATTACTGAGGGGAGAATGTTGAAATCTTTCAGCTATAATTGTCGATTTATCTATTTCTCTTTTCAGTTCCATCAGTTATTGCTTCTCATACTTTGAAGGTCTGTTATCAGGTGCATACACATTTAGGATTATAATGACTTCCTGGAGAATTGATCCCTTTATCATTTGAAATCTTCCTCTCTATTGCTGTCCTGTTTATCCTTGTCCTAGAAATCTGCCTTGGCTGTTTTAATATAGCCACTTCATCTACTATCTTACGATTAGTTGTTCTCATGGAATCTTTCTCCATCCGTTTCTTCTTTTTTTTTTTTTTTGGCAGCTGGCCAGTACAAGGATCAGAACCTTTGATCCTGGTGTTATGAGCACCATGTCCTTCCAAGTAATCTATCCATTTATTCTTCACTCATGTCTTTGTAATTAAAATGTTTTTCTTGTAGATAATGTACAGTTAGATCTTACTTTTTTATCCAGCTTGACAATCTCTGCCTTTTAAATGAAGTGTTTAGACTGCTTACATTTAATGTAATTACATTTAACTGCATTTTGTGTAATGCTTGGGTTTAAGTCCACTGTCTTGCTATTCATTTTTTATTTGTCTTCTATTCTTTGTTCAAGATTCAAGGGGAAACCATGTGGATTGCTGGAACTTTCTTTCCTACATAGCTCACTCCTATCTAGAAATTTCAGCTGCTTCTGCCTCCCCGAATTGTAATCACCATGCCCATTCACTATGGTCACCAGGCTCTGCCTGGGTCCCCTTCCTCAGGGTCCAGAAAGTTCTTCCAGACAAAGGCCAAGGCGACCATAGAGCTCACCTCCTTTATTACATTTGTCACAGGAGTCACTGTCCTGCAGTGCCCATTGTCCAATGTATGATAACAATTGTTTCATGTATTTTGTCCTGTTTTTTAGTAGTTTATGACAAAGAGGCAAGTCCAGCACCAATTGGTCCATCATGGCTTGAAGCAGAAGTCCTGCTTATTCACTAAATAGTGTCTCTGTTCTGTCCCCACCCCACCACCTCCAGCTGTAGAACGTAAGCTTCATGAGGGCAGGGAATTTGTCTGTCTTATTTACTCTTTTCCCTCCCAATTTTTCTTATTGTGGTAAGATACACATAATATAAAACTTACCATCTTAACCATTTTTAAGCATACATTTCAATGGCATTAAATACATTCATAATGTTGTGCAGCCATCACCACATCTGTTTTCATTTCTCTTTCCATCTTATAAAAGTAAACCTCTGTACCCATTAAACAGTCTCCCACCCCAGCCCCTGGCAGCCACCATCCTACTTTCTGTCTCTACGATTGGACCATTATAAGCACTCCCTGTAAATGGGATCACACAGTATTTGTCTTTTTTTGTCTGGCTCATTTCATTCAGCATAACGCCCTCAGGTTTCATCAATGTTATAGATGTGTTGATTTCCTTCTGTTTCAGGGCTAAATAATATTCCATTGTATGTGTATGGTTTGTTCTCTCGTATCTCACCAGCACTTAGAATAGCCTGACATGTACTTGGTTGAAGGAAGGTTGGTCAATTGGGAGGAGGCCAACTGTAGATAACATTGAAAAACATGCTTACACACACATATCAGATGGAAGTTAATATCCTTATACTAAAACAGCTCATACAAAGGCGCCATTTGAAAACCAGGGATAGAACATGAATAGGCAATTCACAGAGGGAGAAGTAACAGTTGCTTATAAATACATAGAACATTTCCTATCTCATTGATTTTTTAAATACACTAAAACAATGGGATACCTGCTTTGCCTGTCAGGTTGGCAGAGACTTGTAGAAGGCAGTTGCAGCCATCTGCAACACAGCAGATGCTCATGACTACTGAAATGACCTGTTCAGTACATGTTTTCTTTTTTTAAAAGATAACTGGTAAGGGGATCTTAACCCCTGACTTGGTGTTGTCAGCAACATGCTCTCCCAAGTGAGCCACAGGCCAGCCTTAGTACATGTTTTCTGGGGCATTCAGAGCCTTGAAAACATTCACACACTTAGACACAATGTTTTCACATCTAAAATCTTAATAAAATGATGAGAAATGCAGATAAAGATTTATGTACAAAAGTATATAAATATCAGGATTCATTTTTTACAGTGGAAATAGCTTTGTTGTATTTTCTGGTGATAAAAGTATATCTGCTGGCCCATTAGCTCAGTTGGTTAGAGCACAGTGTTATAACACCACGGTCAAAGGTTCGGATCCCCATACCAGCCAGCCACCAAAAAAATTAAAAATAAATAGAAGTATATCTGTTCACTGTAAAAAAAAAAAAAAAAAAAAAAAAAAAAAAACCCCAAAAAA